AGGAGGGTTCGAGAGCAGTGAGAGGGCCTCAGTGGACACGCAGACAGGGCCGTGTTTGGATCTTTTTGGAAGACTATCTGTGTCAAAACACCAGGATATGCTCTTTTTCATTTTCAGTCAGTTTCTCTACCGCCAATGCTCCAAATACTAAAAAGGACCACAAAATACAACCCAACACCAGTTTTTAAGCCATTCTTCTTTGAACTTTACAGACACAGAGACACCGACTCGTACTGACAGTACTGAGAAAATAGACTGATCCTTGGAAAGCATTGTGAGATATTTATTCTGTTTGGTCCTTTCAAAGTTCTGCCAAAGGGCCTCTAAGTGGTCAAAATACTTTTACCCTGCAACAATGTCAAAGTCGTCAAGGAAAAAAAAAAGACACCACACTGAGGTAAAGAGAGTCTGGAGGATCTGGATTCACAAATGTCAGCCTTTGGCCAAAGCCTGATAAACTCTTACATGTGTAAAGCCACTGAAAGTTGCAGGAAAAGGACAAAATTGAAAGATAACGCAGAATGCAAAGGCATTGTACTACATTGATATTTCAATTGCAAACCATAAGGCACTCAAAATAGATTTTATCACTGCATCGATACTTTATTGCTATATGCTGTGGCACTCATTGCGTAAAAAGGAGGAGTGGGGAGCTTAAGGTTGAAAAAACTGCTTTCAAAACTTAAGAGAATGAAAAATGAAAAACTCCTGCACACTATTTCACTGACAAAAAGTAAATCTTTAGTGCTGGACCACCCTTTTTTAAACCAAAAGAAGACAGACAGAATAAGTAAATAACTTGCAGCACTACTGCAGTCAGTATTTTTCCTGGAGGATATGAAGCTGTCTGAAAAAGACTGAGCTGTCGTTACTGAAATAGCACTGAACCTGACCGTGGGTGTTACAGGTACACTCATACAGGTAAGAAAAGGTTTATATTTTAGAGTTCAAGTAAAAACTTGGTTCATATACACACGTTGGTTTGACTGTTTAAGCACTAAGACATATCTGTTTTTAAAAGGGCCTTTCTCACGAGTGCAGTTCTGTTTCATAATATCTTGCTTGATGTCTCACTATGGGATGCACGCCTTGCTGCAGCCCTCAGAAGCATTAATCTCATTCCGCCAATCCTGATTGGCTGGTGAACGTGTCCGTCCGCCTTAGAGAGTCCCACCTACCATATACGTATACCTCATGCAGATGGTACCACCTCATTCAAACACCTCTTCTCATTTAGAGCATATCTCGTGTCCAGGGCTAGCCAGCTAAACTGTCCACAGGCGGATGTGATTTAGCTTCTGTTGCCAGGCGCTACTAGCCTTGGATACTTTTCTGCTTCATCAGTCACACCAGATCGATTCTGGTGCTCCCTCGCCTCTCCACGGCTTGGTTCGCACTGTTCTTGGAGCCCCACCATGTTTTTTCGAGCACTGAGCATTAACACACAAGAGGGTACAGAGACTCTGGAGCCAGGCTCTGTAGCTGCGGGAGTAAGATTTAGAGCAGGAAACCACACCAGGTCTGCTTGGGCTGCCTGGGGATGAAACACGCCCCGACTAGCTATCTACGTCCCCGGCTCGTGTCGGCACTGTGCGGTGTTTACCGTTAAGAGTCTCCGCAGTCGCCTACTACTCTTCTACAGTTATTTAACATTTGTTTTCAAACTAAAAGCATGAAGATTATTTTAGTTCAGTGACACCAAACCCTATTGCGGAGAAATAAATATGTAAATCCTGCACTTTGCCTTTTTTAGTGGACACATTAAGTCTGAGCAGCTAAGACAAACAAGACAAATCTGACCCTAAATTAAATTTCAGTGATGTGTATTTACTGGGGAAAAAAAGAAAACTTCTATAACAGGCCTGACAGAATAAGCCGCCCTCAGTGCTTAACCTTAAAATAGTGCCTCTAAATGAGCTCTACCACTCAGCTCAGGTCTAAACACATCCCTCCTAAAAAAAAAATAAATCCCCTCCACAGGTGTTTTCTGTGCAGTTGACTGATTACACCTCTTCTCAGGACCGTGTGGGCATCTGCAGACCATGACTGATTGACGTTTCCATGACTCCCCTTTTAGTACCAGAACAGAGGTCTGAATACACCTGTGTGGGTATGAGGTGCAGCCTTAGCTTGTTGTTCAGCCTCAGTGCATTGACGTAGTGTTTAAATGTGTTTCATTATGTTTGTCCTAATATGGCACCGTGACTTTTACCTCCTCACACCTGCTTTAACTCAAGACGGGTCTGGTGGATCCTGGCTGGAGCCCTTCATGGACCAGAGGAGCCATGCGAAAAAGATGTATGACTCCAGATCGAGTCTTCATTCTGGTCTTCAGACAAATATGTTTATGAATTTCAATTACATTTAAGTCTTTTTCGTCCTTTATAGATTTAGTCAAGTTCAAGTCAATGACACATTTTCGTCCTTTAATTTCCTCACTTTTAAATAAGTCAATAAACTTTTCTGTAATACCTGTACTGAGTGTTTTACTCTTAAAAGCAACATTTTACTCTCTGAACACTTAGAGTTTGTTTTATTTTGGTTAGACTACTAGACCTAGACTCTCCCACAATGCAGTGCTGCCGCGCTGACCTTGCCATTTTACTTAGGTAAAGAAAATGCATAACACAGAGATGACTGTAGTAATATAGGTGAATAGTTTACACTTCACGTAGTTAAAACATATTCCCTCAGCCTCAGTTTAAATATACTAAAACTGAAGCTTTAGATGCGACAAGTGCTACATGTCATATGTCAATCTTTGAGCTGCTGTCACCTGGTTGCTAATTGGACAAGCATCAGTAAAAATGTGAGACATGCAAAGAGGCAGTAAGCATTTGTTCTCCTGACACTCTTGCTGCAGATAAGTAACAAAACTGACACTGCATCCCTTTACTTATTCAAGAAGTTAAAGCTCCAGTAAGGAATTTTTGGTGTTAATTTTAATGCCCCCTGTGGACAAAGCAGTCTGCTTATATTGTCCTCTACATGCATCAGCAGCGTCGCCTGACATAAACCTCAACCTCGACTTTTAACAGTCAAGCGAATTATTTGACGGGAAAATGTAAAATCAGGACTGCATCTTCAGCTATTTGATGACACCTACCCCCTCGCACCAATTTCAGACATTAAAGATGATAAAAAAAAGCCATAAATCTTGTCACAGCTAGCTTTATTTGCTTTTTTATAATAAAAAAAACCATCAATATGAATTTGACTCTACCTCAATCATGTTAAAAAACTCCTCAAATCTTTTAATCCAAATTTTACCCAAACTGTCCATTAAAAAGACAAATCCAGCAGCAAAATAATGATAAATAACACAAATTAAATGTAATGTACACTGAGTAATAATGACATTATTGTAAATAATGATATAGAACAGAGGCGGTATTTCCAGGTGCTACATTGTTCACACTCCCGAAGAAGCATCCATGTTCATCTTGTGGACAGCATCCTGTCCCATGTTCTCTCCACTCTGCCCATTTCCTACACTCTTAATTCCTGCCCATACCCACCGAGACACAAGTGAACAACACTAATTGGCCAACAAACAGAATCCACTGGGCCATTTCTATGCAGAATCTGTGAACAGAGGTGAACCTTCCCAGAATGATAAGTATACAGATAATAACAGAACTCGACTTGTCCTTTTTAGTAACTTTATAAATGGAAATATATCTGCAAATTATCCAGGCAACTTATATTTTTATGTTAAATGTACCTCAGGAAGGTTTTTTTTTTTAGACCCTTTCTTTGTCTGCACACGTTCTCAATACTGCCCAGCTTCCTAGCAACACAGCCATGCTTTTCAACTTCCAGGTAAAAGCCCTGCATGTTCACACTTGAAGTTTGAGTCATATACATGACAGAAAATCAATCCCCAGCCACATTATTCAGGAATGTCAGTCCAGGTTTGAGAAGTTTGAAGGAGAGAGATTTCAGTCGGACTTATATACTCACATGTTTTTTAAAACTTCAGTTTCAGCCAGTCTAAGCCAATAAACAGATTTTTGTTAAACATGTAATGAACTATTAGTGTTTAGTGTCAGCTTACTTACTTACTATCAATGTTTGCATTTTCATTTAGCATTAAAAGGGCATTACGCCGTAAATTTAAGTAATGGTCAAACACACCATAACTCCGAGTTAGACACCCCCTTGAGAGATGAATGTTGCTGACTGCTTGCTTCTCTAGTTATACCAACTTCAACACTTGGTGATCGACTTGTCAGGGCTTCCCCACAAACAAGCGGCTGCTGCAGGGAGTGGGTGAGTTGTGTTTCGTCTCTTTGCCAAAGAAACCAGGCAAAGTTAAAAAGATGTTTGATAGCTAGTACTATAGCATCAACAGTACATACTGTTGATGACGTTACGTGCTGTTCTGACCATTATTTGTGACTACGAGTGGCTTTTTGGTTGAGGTTTACGCATGGAGACGTAGACTGCTGTGTATTGCTATCGTGCAGTCATTGCTGAAGTTGGTATAACCACAGAAGCAAGCAGTCAGCAACATTCATCTTTTAAAGGGGGTGTCTAACTCGGTGTCACAGTGTGTTTGAGAACAACTTAAATTTATGCCGGAATATCCCTTTAACATGCAGAAACTTCATATAACTTACATTGTGCCTTGAACCTGACATCTCTCTTGATTGAGTGACATTCAACGAGCCAAAGAGGTTTCTATTGACCTGAAATGCATATTTCTAAACAGGGCCCTCAAAGTATGACAGTTCATCTCTGATGGACTCTCAGCTTTCTCCACTATCAAGAGATCAAGTCTGGGGAATTTCTCACGTGTCAGACTGAAGTTGCAACCTCAGTGCTTGGACACATTAGAAAGTTGTAGAGTGATTTTCTTTCCTGCCAGCTTGCAAATTAGTTGTTGCCAAAAGTCTGGCCAAAGGACAAAGTGGTTACTTGGACTCCTTTTCACCTGCCAGACATTAGGACAATTTCGTTCGAGGAACACGGCCTTTGCTGAGCAGATTGTATTCATGCAGAGGAGGATTTTATGGCACTCGCTGGTGTGAAATGACTCAAATGATTTCATCTTGTTGCTTTCGTCATGTTACTTTGTTCCCGTACAGTTTCAGGACATTTTGTAATGCCGCTCTATTATTGCGTAGTTAATGATTCAGTTTGAACTCTGTGTTAGATAAATGTTCCCTAAGCTGATCAGTATGATTACACTGGAATCAACACATTTCTGCCTGAATTTTCCCTGTTAATAATGCAGGACGTTAGGATGTTTCAAGCCTTTGCTGTCAATTTTAGAAGGGACATACTGTGCTGTATAAGAGTTTGCAACCAAGCTTGAATGGGGTCATATCAGGAACCGGCACTCTAGGGGGTCTGCTCCATGTTCTATCAGATGCAAAGATCAGGCCCTGCGATGGGACCTGTTTGGGTTTATTTCTCGGTGACTTCCACATGTCCCTCTCCTCACTACGCTTCAGAGAGAGAGGGAAACGGAGCGTCTCTTTCCATCTGTGCCTTCCTGTCTCAGTGACCCTTTGCGCCATGTGTCTCCTTCCTCAGTGTGAGGGAGGCGACAGGTGAGCACACAGAGCTTTAAACTGCTAACCCTTAGCGCGCACCCACTTTCAGCACGTCTCTTTGTGTGCTCAGAGGTCCGTGCTCCTCCCTCCTTTTGGCCGCACAGGGGCAGGAAAGCATATGCACTCAAATTCAGCTGTCAACCTGTGAGTTTTCTTCCATACTGCTGTCTCCAATCATGCAGAGATGGAGGTATTGAAAGGGGAAATTGCCTCCCTCCTGAGGAAGAAAACAGCTGAGATTTGTCTCCAGGAGCTGTACATTGTTTTTTTTTTTTCTTGTGTACTTGTGGCCCCAAAGAAAACTATAGGCATTCTCCTGCCTTGCACATGAATTCAAGAACCATCAGTCTGCTTATTGGTCTTGTGAATCAGCTGCTTGAACATAAATACATGCATTTTGTAGCTTGCTTAAATATAATAATAAGCAGTAAAATAATATGCAGTGTGCCCAACTGTGCAAGACCAAGAACAGCATGTACTGTAATAGGTAATTGAACCTATTATGTGAGCCCTATAGTTCGACATAAGAGATGAAATCATGGAAAAAGGTCCTTGCATCTCCGCTCTCAAGAGCTGCAGGCTTTCATCAAGTTCAAATGCTTGTTGCTTTTGTCTTTTTTGAAGTAAATGTCTGAGACTACAGAGCACATCTCTGACAAAAGAGATTCAAAACTAAAATCATCACAGACGAGCATTGAACCCTTTCAGAGGTTTAAGGTACTAAAGCAAAAATACTCTCTGACTGTACAAGTGTAGACACTGAGGAGTTACAATTGAACTCAAAAACTTAGTTTCACTCTCCACACCTGGAAATATACAGATATACCCCCCCCCCACATCCAAAACAATAAGCAATTATTAGTGCTGCCTTTACATGCAAATCAGTGTCAATCTAAATCTACACAATTAATCATAATTAAGTCCAGAATAATGTGCAGTCAGCTTGTGGTGATGCAAAATAGAATTCCAACAGAGTTAAGTGGCAGGATCTTGTCTCTGTGGGGTCCTATTTTGACCAACCATCCATTCACTGTTCCTCTTCCTGATCATCACCCAAATACTCAGGTGATTCTGTTGCTACACTATTATTTTTAGTTATCCTGCTTTACTGTTATTTACACCACGATTCAGTTAGGACTGCTGTAGTAGAAACCTCCCCTTCCTTTAATGTGCAGACATGCAAAGCCAAGACAGGGACAGCAGCAGCAAAGACATCCAGGGTATGGGACATAGTGGGCAGAAGAGACAAAACATGACGCTGGCATTCATAGACCCAGAAAATAAAAGCAGTAGCTGTAAAAGATCTTCACCATTGTTGGTGTTTTCTTTAAACCAATCCACTGACTCTGCCAAAGCACATTTGTATGCACATGATGTAGTTTTAAAGCTCTTTGTGGGTTTAACATTCATTGCTAGTTCATTGCTAGCAATTCATTGCTAGTTTCAGGGTTCCTACACAGTTTGAATTTCCATACTTTTCCATACCCTACTTTTTAGAATTATTTTTGGAAATACCTACTTTTCTTTTTTTTTTTAGAAAACAGTATTTAAGAACTGTGGTAATAGTCTGGAAACATAGATATTTTTCCATACTTTATTTCTCATTAACCATATTTTTAAGACCTGGAAATTGATCAAACTACTTCCATACTTTTGCATACTTTCCATACTTGCGTAGGAACCAAGTTAAAACAAGATATAATAAAAATTGACTTCAGACGGAAATTTTTGAAAACAAATTTCACAAGTTTGTTTTGCGGGTTTTCTAAGCAATGGTGTACATGTTGATGATTTTCTCTGTATGATCACTTACATACTTTTACTTGAGTTCAATAAGTGCACACCTTTGGCACCTCTGAACTTTTACACATATTCAAACACCTGTTGCATCTTTCTCACTACCCAGGTACATGAGAGAGGTTGGATAGTATTGCTCATGACTGGTGATGCAACCTTGTTTAACTCTCTCTCTCTCTCCCTCTCTCTCTCTCTCTTTTTTCTGTGTTACCCATCGGCTGAGCCCTCACACGTCATTGTGAATTCAGGTCCAGCTCAGAGTGCAGAGCATTTCTTATGGCCTTCGCCTCTGGTTACAACTGACAGTGAAATCCATCAGTGGGTAGAGCATGAATGTATGAAAATTTAAAGGGCATGCAAGCACCTGATTGGACAGTCAGCGCATTTATATTTCTCTGGCTGCTGAGCACGACCATATTATTGATGTTTCTCACTGGCCTATGCACACGCTCATAAATCGGATTTATCAAGGATTTTCTGTAGTTTGGAAGGCAGGCTGATTATTTTCAATTTTTGATTAATTTGGGGATATTACTGGAAAAACTAAACCATATATAGTTTATTTGATTGAAACACAACATTCAATAACATGTAAAGTGACATATTATATCATACATTTTTTAATCCCTTCTTTCCCTTTATGCCTCTGACGCTAGCCAATACTGGCTCTTCGCACACAATCAGAAGTCCTTGAACAAACCCATCAATCAAATGTAGTTCTCACTTCGTTCAGGACTCGTTTCTCCCATCAGTACGAGGTGAAAGGTCTCATTATGTCATTACTTTCTCTACAGCCTTCGTATACGCTGCAGTTTAAACCTAACAGGCTGAACAAGGGGAAACTAAGGACCACACACTTCGGAGACTGACAGACTAATGTGCAATCCCAAAGCTTTTGCAGCTGAAACCGTTATTAATTGAAAGTAATTACTGCTTTCACAGGCTGAATTACATTACAAAATGGTCTGAAAACCATCGGAAGGAGTTGGTCAGAGCTTGGTTTAACTCTCCTTGAATATGTTTTTATAAAAGACTGTTTTGCAAATGGGACAAAACTTCACTTGAAATCTAGTTTCCCATTCATAATGCTTGATAATGACTTACATAACATCGAGCCAGAACATTCATGAATACTGATAAATGCCTGACCCTGAGCACTCATACAGGGAGAAATAGAAAGCGGCTCTTTGTCCCATACAATCATGTTAGGTGAGTTTTGCACTGGGCAAACTAATAGTACTCCTAAGCTGTTAGCTTGTGTTTCTTTTATTGTACTACTAACAAGTGGCCTTTTAGGGAAACAAAAAGGAGTCTCCGCTGCATTTGTTGTCATTGCATTTTACTTCTTAAGTGTGCTGACTCCTCCTAGACTTTAAGGAACAACAACAGGCATATTTGTTGAAAATATGCATACAGGGCAAAATAAGCAGCAGAAAACATATTGCAGAACCAGTATTGTGTGATAAACAGTGACACAGAGATCTCTGCAGATGCTGCTATAAATAAAAGGGCAAAATTATTTTCCACGACTATTATTCATTCATTCATTCATTCAGAATAAGAAAAACAACAAATTGAACACCCACTACAACAACTGCATCTGTAGAAATGTATGCATGACAAACCCCAAAGGGCAATGTAAATGGTAAACAATGCGCTCAACCTTCATTCTCTAGTCAGCACATGCGTGTAATTGGATCTGGTGTTGACATGTACCAAAGCGCTTGCTAAGAAGCTCATTAGTGACAGACAGAAATCAGCTCTTGCATGTATGAGGAAACAAAATGCCAAATAGAAATTTAAACAGGATAGCTGCGCTTCCTCGTAAGGGTGAATAATTAACTCAGCTGTTGTACGACGCCTTCACTACGTCTCCGAACCTTTCCCACTGCAGCCACCTCCAAGGTTACTTCATCAATAGCCCGTCAAAGCAGAAAGAAAATTCAAGCACTCACCGAGACTTTTGCAACCTTCTACTTAATTACACAGATTTTATCCAAACCCACATTGAGAGTCACGTAAAAACTCTGTTGTGCACATGCTCTTTTAACTCAGACTTACGAGATCTTAAGGTTTATTTACACTTGACTTTGGCACGGTGCTTTGAAGGGGTGATATTTTACCACTATGCAACTCAAACACACGTTCAAATAAGTGTTACATCATGATATTAAAAGCCCTGTTATTTTTGTATCTTCTAAATGAGTTGTGAAGTTAAGGTGGGTAGAAAAAATTTCATCTGTTGCAGATCAGCCAGACTGCTGGCCCTGAGCAAGTTTTACATATGAAGTGAAAAAGCTGCAGGAACTTAAAAGTAACTACTTAAGTGTAAGTCTATGGCATGACCTCAATTAAGATTAAAATCTTCTAGAAGTGGGAAACCCTCGTGGAAAGAGTGAACTCTAAACTGTATGCAATTATAACTTGCAGTGGATATCTGGGATCTAGCATATATATTCAAAATGGTGAAGTAAAAAAAAAAAAAGGTCTGTCAGACTGAATCAAAGCTGCAGAAAAACATTAAACGCAAATCCTTCAACCCCTCTTAACTGACGAAGTATTGAAATTTAAGATCTGAAAATCTTATGTCTGGCACAAGCAGATAGAGGTTAAGAAAATGTGGTTTGTAAACTGATAGATAGCACTGCAGTGATAGTAAAGAGCAAACATATGTCAGTCTTGGCACATCCTAGGAATCAGTGTTATCAAAAGCTCTTTTCAGTCAATTCTGGCAACAACGAAAAATGTGCTCTCTCTGGATTTGACAACGAAGCTTTCCATCTCTACTTGTAAAACTCATCTATAGTAGCAGACACAAAGTTTGAAAGCACAAACCAACCGAACCACCCCTCAGAAAATCATATTACTGCTGTTATCCAACATTTTGACTGTGCTACAGTGATGTACAGATGAAGTTCAGGACAGTGTGACAGCTCTCATGTGCAGCAGACTGGGGCTATGTTAATTTGGCAGCTATTTTAGATGTAGTCTTAATCTTTGGACTAAATTGCCTTTTAGCTTTGCCACATTTTAGTCATTGATGCCCTGAAATATTTAAGTCTAGTAATAGTTAACGAAAATTACAGAGATTTTGTTCTCTAAACTAATCTAGCTTGTGTTAAAATCGGTAATACTTAACACCCTCAAACTTGTGCAACATCTGGATACCTTACTGGTCAAACAGTCACTACAGCTATCAACAGCTTATTTTCTTTGACTTCCTTTTTTATGGGGGTTGGTGGTTTTAAAACATAACTACAAGTGAAAATCATGGGGGCAATTAAGTCTTACCCAATCAGGGCAAAGCTTGCTTCCTTTTCAGTCATTTATTTGAACCCGAATCGTGGACTGAGCAATTAACCCGGGTGGTTGCTCGTAGTCCAAGGTAAATGACTCCGAGTGGGAGGAAAAATGATTTTAAATTCAGGAGGAAACTCAGCTTTCATATTAAAGTTTCAGTTCCTCTGGTAACGGATCAGTGGGCTGAATCAAAAAGGAAACCGAATATTCTTAATCATGGTAGCTGGGGCTGATAATTCTTTTTAAACATCCCCCAACACAGGATCATTGATTCAAATTAAACAGGCATTGTTGGGCTCTCACTAATGAATCATGACCAGGGGTGCAGATCTGTCACTGTGATCAGACTTGCGTATCAAACTCGACAATGATTATATTGCCTTCACTCACATGATCAGCAACACAAACTGACTTTATTGAACAATGTTGATTCAATTCTGAGGACGAAGGATTCCTCATGAACAGGATGTTATAGAGAATTAGTCGTAATAAAAACCAGCATTTCATTTTTTTGCTATATGCTGTAATCAATTTCTTAAAGTAGGAATGTGTCAGTTTGGTTCTTTACAGCAGCACATGTGTCAAAGAAAGATAACTGCAGTGGTGTTTTTCTCTGATCTCCAAAAGTTTGTTCACACTGAACCTCAAAACTAAATTGACAAAAAAAAAGCACAGGGGAGACAAGTGGCAAGATGCTGATTGTGCAGGCCATGCAAATCAGCTATTTTAGGTGAATTTTGAAATATTTAAACTCTGGCAACAAGTTGAATAAAAATTGTCCCCCAATGCAGTTACATGTAAGAGTAACCTTACTTCCTTAGATGCAGCAGAAACGATTGATGAAAGCAATACCCATTTTTCATTTAAGTGTCTTATGATAAATGTAGTTTTAAAACCAGTTTTTAAAGCCTGTGTGACTGACTATTTACGGTAAAACTAAGACTCACCTAAAGCAAATGAACAAATGGGCTT